AAAAAAAAAAAAAAAAAAAAGACAAGCCATGGGTGAAGTGGGCGATGAGATTCTTTGAGCTGGCAGCCCCATGTGGTTCGGCCAGTCCAACAGAGAACCTTGATGAGGGGTAGTAATCCTTCCTGTAAGCTTTCCTGGCTGAGCCCCACAATAATGTAGAAACTGGACCACCCCTTCCATGGTTAGCCACGGTGCGTGTGCCATCGGCGATCGATCGGTAACGATTTTGGAGGCGAACTTGTTGAGAAAGAATGGTGGAGGAACACTTTGGATGCTGCTCAGGCAAGAAGAATTCTTTTCTTGTTGGGGTTAGCCAACAAGAAACGTGAGGCTTAGCCTTGGGAGGAATACTGGAAAAGGCCTCATTCTTCATGTGCTGCTTTCTCTTTCTCTATTTGTGTTAATTGTCTTCGGTTACACGACTCTTTACAATGGTATGATATTGTCCACTTTGAGTATCTTTCTCTATTTGTGTTAGTTGTCTTCGGTTACACGACTCTCTACAATGGTATGATATTGTCCACTTTGAGTATCTTTCTCTATTTGTGTTAGTTGTCTTCGGTTACACGACTCTCTACAATGGTATGATATTGTCCACTTTGAGTATCTTTCTCTATTTGTGTTAATTGTCTTCGGTTACACGACTCTCTACAATTGTATGATATTGTCCACTTTGAGTATAAGCTCTCATGACTTTACTTTGGGTTTCTCAAAAGGCCTCAAGCTCATGAAGAGAATATTCTTTGTTTATAAATTCATGATCATTCTCTAAATTAGCCAACGTGGGACTTTTATCATCCAAGACAGTTTGAGCGAGGGCGAGGGAAGTTTACTTTTTAACGTTTCAATATAATTTCTAATAAAAATATATAAGTAATATTTCATAATATTATATTAAACATAATTTAATATTACTTCGTTTGATTCTATTGGAGTTGTGATGAAATTTTAAGACTCTTCTTTGTCACTAGTCTTTGTTGGCCGTACCATGTTGAGCTAACAATGAAAGTCCTCATATTTGCCCATATTCAACCTTTTTGTAAACAAGTCTACCACTTGGTCATCTGTTTTCTTCTTTCAAGACTTTTTCTCTAACAGAATGGTAATGCACCTCCACATGCTTTGTTTTAGAATGAAACATCGAATTTTCTACTATATAAACCGCAAATTGATTGTCTCACTGAAGTACTGGATAGTCAACTTTCTAGTACAAATCTTCCATTAACAGATTCAGCCACCTACTTTCTTGAGCTGCTCTATACTTTGCTTCTTAATAGCTGTGTTGGCATACTTAGATTTGACTTCCGGATTCTTTCTGATCGTCTAAGTTGTTGATTTTTTGTTTTATTTTTATCGAGTTTGTTTGGTTAAGTCACTTTTTGGTCATTAACATTAGTGTCACTTGGATCTGCAAACACATCAACACTAGACCAAATATCTGCCGTGTGCTCCCTTGTCTTTTATTGTAAAGTTTCTTCAATGATGTTCGAGTATGGTAAGTATTTTTAATTCGAGTGCCATGATGCTTCCCTTGCGCCACTCTTTTGTCAGTCATGTGATTTGAGCACCCCGAATCAATGATCCAATGATTCTCATAATTAGTATGCTCTCCCATTATCGCCATGAGCGCTAGGTCGTCTTCTTCTAAGATACATCATATGCATCTTATTCATCATCCATATCAATTTTGAAGGTTGCCGTATTACTTTGGACGAACTTTTTCTTAGACCAACAATCTTTTGACATGTGGTCATTCTTTCCACAATTGTAGCAAATGTCTTCAAATATCTTCCCTTGAGAACTCTTGTTGTCATTGTACTCGGCTCACTAAGGTTGTGTAGTTTCTTGGTGATTTTTTTTTTCTTTTATCAGTATTTTTATATCCAAACGGCTTATTGTTGCTCCCACTTTTACTTGTGTAGAGCGCTTCTTCTTCCCTCGTAAGTGTGAATTTAAAATCAATTTAAATAATTTGAAATAAAGATCCTAAAAGACAACCGTAAATAGGATATGATGATGCATATTGCCCACGTATTGTAGTTGTTAATGTTGAGTTTCTTGATTTCTCTAATGACTCGAATATCACCCATCATGTTAACAATACATAAGTAATACTGAACAATTTTTTTCGACATAAAATTTGCAAAGTCACGGACTACTCACGACATAAAGAAACCCACTTGCAAATAATCTCAATAAATCCTTTCTAGTGTAAATAATCAGACAAAGAGGCAACAATAAAGCATACGGAGTTTGCAGAGATCAGACAACCTATATCAACCTCGCTTTGATACCAAATTGTTGAACACAACTTTTTTGTGAGAAACACTCACACTTTTATTAAGACCGATAGAGCAGAGATTACAAGACACAGGGTAGAATATGTTTTGGATTTCTTCAGATGAAAAACTAAGTACGGTGGA